CTGCTGTGGCCCAGGAGTGCAGCGGAGGATGGCCCAAGTGCTTGGGCCCTGCACCCCATGGGAGACCAGGAGAAGCACCTGGCTCCTGCCTTCGGATAGGCACAGTGCACCGGCCGCAGTGCGCCAGCCGCGGTGGCCATTGGAGGGTGAACCAACGGCAAAAGGAAGACCTTTCTTTCTCTCTCTCTCTCTCACTGTCCACCCTGCCTGTCAAAAAATAAAAAATAAATAGTTTATTTTGGTGCATAAAGCTTAATATTCATGCATACGAGGGGTCTTTTAAAACAAGATCTCGAGGTGCAGGTGTTTAGTGATTAAGATGCTGGTTGAGATACCAACTCCCATATCAGAGTAGCTCACTGGATACCTGCCTCCAACTTCCTTGTAATGCACACTCCGGGAGACAAAGGTGACTGCTCAAGTAATTAAGTTCCTGCCACCCACATGGGAGACCTGAATTAAGTTCCTAGCTCCTGGCTTCGGCCCCAGGCCAGCACTGGCCCTTGCAGGCACCTGGGAGTAACCCAGCAGATAAGCGACTTCCTTCTCTGTTCTCTGCTCTCTGTCAGCATACAGTTCAAGTGTTTGCTTTTTTTTTTAATAAATAAAAAAAATAAAAATTTTTTGAGAAATAGCACCACCTGCTGGTTCACTCCCAGACTTGCAATAGCTGGGCCTGACCAGGAACTGGGAATGCAATCCAGGTCACCTGTGTGGCTGTCAGGGACCCAACTGCTTGAGCCATGATCACTGCCTCCCAGAGCCTGCACTGACCAGAAGCTGGAAGCCTGAGCTCCGTTGGGATTCGAACCCAGGCACTCCAATGTAGGACACAGGCATCTTCTTAAAGATGTGCTTCAAACGCAGAGAGAGACCTTCCACCTGCCGGTTCACTCCCCCAAGTGCTGCTAACAGCCAGGAGCTCCATCTGGGTCTCCCAGAGGTCGTTGCTAAGGTCCCCTTCATGTTGGCAGGCAAAGTGCCCTGAGTTTCTCCTGTGGACAGCTGTGCGTTAGGAATCCCGGAGCAGCGCGGCTGAGCCGCTCAGCAGTGTGGACGCTGGCCGGCCTGGCCAGGGCTACGGGGCTGGCCACATGCTCATGCACGGCCCTCCAGGAAGGAGGCTTCGTGCAGATCCGTGGCACGTGGTCGTCTAACAGTTAACACCATGGTTCCCACTAGAGCACGTGGTGAGACAGGGAGGTGGAGACACAGGGATACAGAGAACCAGGACGGACATGCAGTCCTTCTGGTCAGTTCCATTGGTCACACATGCACCATCACTGTGGGGCAGGGCACACAGGTGTGGACACCGGGTGGGCGCTGGCTGCCGGAGTGCTCTCTACCTTTACATGAAAACACACCCGCTCCCTCCCGCGAGACACCAAAGCTTCCTATCATGCCGCATCAGCACCACGTGAGGTCTGGGGACAGATGAGGGCGCAGCAAACACAGCACCCAGTGGTGTGGTGTGGTGTGGTGTGGTGTGGTGTGGTGTGGTGTGGTGTGGTGGGCGCCACCATCCTAGACTGATGCTGGTTCGAGTCCCAGTAATGTGCTTGAGAAAGCAGTAGAGGATGGCCCAAGTCCCTGGGTCCCTGTACCCACATGGGAGACCAGGAGGAAGCTCCTGGCTCCGGATCGGCCCAGCTCCCACCGTTGTGGTCATTTGGGGAGTGAACCAGCAGATGGAAGATCTCTCTCTCTCTCTCTCTCTGCAACTCTGCTTTTCAAATACAATAATCTTTAAAAATAAAACAAAACAGCACCTCTGATCTGCAGACCTGGAAACCTGAGACTGGTCAGCGCCCCTCCCCATGGCCAGCGTGCTTCAGTGGGACACGAGATGGCTCCCTGGGTACTCCTGGTCAGGTCCACGCGCAGTTCTGAAACCCAGGCACGCAGCCGCTGGAAGGATGGCCCCTCAGTCAGACCTGCTGCCAGGCACCGCCTTTCCACAGCTCTCGCAGGCCAGGAGGCATGGGCTTCACCTTCAGCACACGTGGGATCTAAGGCCTCTATTATTTATTTATTTATTTTTTTTTGATAGGCAGAGTGGACAGTGAGAGAGAGAGAGAGAGAGAAAGGTCTTCCTTTTCAGTTGGTTCACCCCCCAATGGCTGCTGCGGCCGGCGCTCCGAAGCCAGGAGCCAGATGCTTCCTCCTGGTCTCCCATGCAGGTGCAGGGCCCAAGCACTTGGCCATCCTCCACTGCACTCCCGGGCCACAGCAGAGAGCTGGCCTGGAAGAGGGGCAACCGGGACAGAATCCGGCGCCCCAACCGGGACTAGAACCCGGGTGCCGGCGCTGCAGGCAGGGGATTAGCCTCGTGAGCCGCGGCGCTGGCCGGAAGCGGCCTTTTCAGTACTTAGATCATTTAGGTCGTTGGCTGCGTGTTCCACCTTCCGAATGGCGGTGGCTGACAGTGTTGGCAAACTCCCGACAGCTACACAACCAGGACTCCTTCCTCCAGCTCCCAGTCTTACTGACCTCCGTTTCCTGCAAGTGCACACCGGCAGGCTGATCAGAAACAACGGGGTGGTCATCCACAACTTCAGACACTCCGGGCTTCCACTCGCACGCTCCTCAAAGCCGCTCCCACAAGGGAGGCTCCGTCATGGAAGCACTTTGCTCACAGCGCCCAGACCCGCGTTACACATTGCTCCCTTGGCCATGAGATCAAAACTTGGCAAGTAAAAATTTACTTGATTTTTAAAAAGATTTATTTGAATGTGTTACAGAGAGAGAACAGACAGAGAAAGAAACAGAGAAAGAGCAATCTTCCATCCACTGGTTCACTCCTCAAGTAGCTGCAACGGCTGGGGCTGGGCCAGGCTGAAGCCAGAAGCTTCTTCCTGGTCTCCCACGTGGGTGCAGGGGCCCAAGCACTTGGGCCATCCTTCGCTGCTTTCCCAGGCACATTAGCAGGGAGCTGGACAGAAGTGGAGCAGCCGCGTCTTGAACTTGCACTCATATGGGATGTTGGCATTCCAGAAGGCGACTTTACCTGCTACGCCACAATGCAAATCTAATCTCTTGATTTTCTTAACAATCTACAATTAAATTATTTTTTTTTTTTTTTTTTTTTTGCATTTGAGAGAAACAGAGTGAGCTCCCACAACTGATGGAGCTGCAGTGGCCCAAGGGTGAGAACTCAACCCAGGTCTCCCATGAAGGTAGCAGGATTCCAGCCTCAGCTCCCAGGTACACATCACAGCAGGAAGCTGGAGGCAGGAGCTGGAGCCAGAATCAATCCAGGCACTCCAATGTGGGATGCTGATTTCTTAACTGGCCTTTCAACCACCAGGCAAAACACCTGTCCCAGCACCGCCACACAAGTCCTGCGGGTCAGCAAGCTTGGAGAATCGTAGCTGGGTGGTGCTGGTTCGAGGCTCCCTGAAGTCGCACTCACACTGTTGGCCACAGCTGCAGTCCTTGGAGTTACTCACACTTATTTCTGGGTATTGAGGCTATTAAATATCAAAATATTTAATTTATTTTTGCAAACTTGTAAAATCTTGAAACTCTTTTATAATTATTTTTTTTAAAGATTTATTCATTTATTTGAAAGTCAGAATTAGAGAGAGAGAGAAGGAGAGGCAGAAATCTTCCACCCCACGTGGCCGCAACGGCCAGAGCTGTGCCGATCCGAAGCCAGGAGCCAGGAGTGTCTTCCAAGTCTCCCACACAGGTGCAGGGGCCCAAGGACTTGGGCCATCCTCCACTGCTTTCCCAGGCCATAGCAGAGGGCTGGATAGGAAGTGAAGCAGCCAGGACTCGAACCGGCACCCATATGGGATGCGGGTACTGCCGGCAGCAGCTTTACCCACTGCGCCACAGCACTGGTCCCAATTAATTTGTAATCAGAAAAAAATTTTGTTTTCCCCGGTTGCCCCTCTTCCAGGCCAGAATCCGGCGCCCCGACCGGGACTAGAACCCGGTGTGCTGGCGCCGCAAGGCGGAGGATTAGCCTACTGAGCCACGGCGCCAGCCCGTCCTATTGATTTTCAAAGATATATTAAGCATCTATTATGTAGCAAGTATTTCTGGTGTGAAGAAAAGACCACAGCCTCTGTCTTTAAGGAATTATGGATTTGTGAACACAAAAACAGCTAATAACACAACGTGAAACACATGTAGGGGCTGGCGCTGTGGTACAGCGGATAAAGCTGCTGCCTGCAACACCGGCATCCCATGTGGGTGCCGGTTCATGTCCCAGCTGTTCCATTTCTGATCCAGCTCCTTGCTATGGCCTGGGGAAAGCAGTCAGTGGAACATGGCCCAAGTGTGTGGGCTCCTGCCACCCACTTGGGAGACCCAGATGAGGCTCTTAGCTTTGGCTTGGCCCAGCGCTAGCCATTGGAACCAACTGGACTGAAGATCTCTTGTGTCTCTCCTCTCTAACTCTTTCAAAATGATTAAGTTTTTAAAAAAATTAAAAGATAAATGTTGCTCAAGTGGTATATATAACACTAAAGGATGGGCAAGTCAGGGGTCAGCATTGTGGTGCAGTGGTGTAAGCTGCTGCCTACAGAGCCAGCATCCAGTATCAGAGCACGGGTTCAAGTCCTGGCTGCTCTGCTTCTGATCCAGCTCCCTGTTAATACACCTGGGAAGCAGCAGAGGATGGCCCAAGCACTTGGGCCCATCAGAAGACCCAGATGGAGTGCCTGGCTCCTGGTTTTGGCCTGGCCCAGCCCTGGCTGTTGCAGATGTTTGGGGAGTGAACCAGCATTTCTCCCTCTCTCTCTCTCTCTCTCTCTCTGTGTTTCTCTGCCTTTCAAATGAATAAACAAATAAATCTTTGAAAAAAAAAAGATAGGAGTCAGATGAGCAGACTGAAGACAGACCCGAGAAAAGGAGAGAGTAGCTGGAGTCAAGCGAATAGCCTCTCATACCACACTCGGATTCTGAACTTGCGCACGGTCTACCGTTACGGTCTGTAAGCAGGAAAACGCAATGACCAGATATATTAAAATATATGTGTTTTAATGCTTGCATGGTTTTATTCTTAAAAATATCGATCCACCTGGAACTTCTCAAATGTTACAATTTCCTACAAGGCAAAAGTACACAAACTGCAGACATCGGTACAGAAAACAGTAATGCATACTTACCAAGAACGTTAAAACCAGAGAGCTTTGAATCCTCTTTAGGGTTTTAATTGCTAGAAAAGCAGCAGGAATGGACATTCCTATTCAAGAGGCTGAAGGTTCCTGTGAATTGGCAAATAGTCCCTGTGTGCTGAACTGGGCTGCACACTCCGAACGTGGTTTTGTTTGTCGGAGTTTGTGTTTCGGTACCCTGGGAAACGTCAGCTGGGGAAGTGTCAGTGAGGAAGGGCCTCGCTAGACACTGCAGGCTGGCACAACCACAAATGACCGGAGGCAGAGAGCGGGCCTTTTCTAATCCTTTATGTTGGCCAATCCCCATAGGTGGCAACGGTAAAGCGGCCACCGCCTTGCGCTCAGTCAAGGTGTAGCCGGGTTTTAAGCCCTTGATTGTCCTGGACGGTGCTCTGCTCTTTCTCTTCCACGTTGAGCACGGTGTCCACGGTTATTCCCACATCCTCCAGGGACCAGCCTCCTGCCACTTCCAGAGGCTTTCTGGGAAAGGAGGTGGAGAGGCTGTAGAGAGCCGTGTGGTAGCCGACCTTCATCATCCAGTCCAGTAAGACCTGGAAGACAAGCGCTCAGTCACCACCACACACAGAGCACGCGGGTGCCTGTGGCTCGCGGGATCTGTCACGGCCGTCACGTGGGATCCCGTGTGCAGGAGCGCGGGACAGAACGTCCACCCCTCAGAGACACTGGTGGGCGGCTAACGGGAAGGAGCGAGCCGCGAGTCTTGTCTCAGGGAAGGCACTACTGCCCCTTACAGGCGGTACCTACAAGAGCCCCACCCACTCGTGAGCAACAGCCAGTTTTCAGCCAGTAAGTGGAGAACGAAAGGCTAGCGTTTAGGAAATAATTACTCAGATCAGAATCTCTCAGGAGCTCTGTCACAACAGACATGTCTACGCTCTAAAGACTGCCTGAGGATGGCCTCATTTCCTTTTTTCAACTTTACTTATTTGAGAGGCAGAAAGACAGACAAGGGAGCTCTCATCTGTGGGTTCACTCACCAAATGCTTGAGACAGCTGGGATTGGGCTGAGGTGGAAGCCAGAAGCCAGGAACCCAATCCAGGTCTCCCATGTGGATGGCAAGAGCCCAATCACTTGTGCCATCACTGTCTCCCGGGGTTCGAGTTAGCAGGAGGCTGCAGCAAGGAGCTGGAGGCGGGTATCACATGCAGACCCTCAGGGCCAGCACTGTGGCACAGCGGGTTAATGCCCTGGCCTGAAGCACCAGCATCCCATATGGGCGCCGGTTCTAGTCCCGGCTGCTCCTCTTCCAGTCCAGCTCTCTGCTATGGCCTGGGACAGCAGCAGAAGATGGCCCAAGACCTTGGGCCCCTGCACCCGCATGGGAGACCTGGAAGAAACTCCTGGCTCCTGGCTTCGGATCGGCTCAGCTCTGGCCATTGTGGCCATCTGGGGAGTGAACCAGCGGACGGAAGACCTCTCTCTGTGTCTCTACCTCTGTTAACTCTTTCAAATAAATAAAAATAATCTTAAAAAAAAATGCAGACCCTCCAACATGAGAAAGATGGCACCTTAACCCCACCTTAACTGGTGAGATGACCTGACTCTCAAGTCCACACCTCCTGTCGTGAGGTGTCCCACAGTGATGAAAACGTCCACTTACTATTCCTAGTAGTGACGCCTGCCTCAAAACATACAATGCTTATTTCAAACAAAGGATGGTTTGTGGCATTGGGAAGAAAGGTGGATGACAGAATGTTCTAGAAGGAAGCTGCAGTTTCAAATATAGATAGTCCAAGAAACTACTGACCCTCCATGTCACAGATGTGTACCTGTGTCAGGGTTTCTAGAACTCCGTGATGTTCAGCATATGGTATACCTTAATTTAACCAATGCTTACATAAACACTTATAACTTTGAACATTGGTTTTATTTCTACAGAATAGATTCTTATAAATGAAATGACTCATAGATTTTATCTAAAAAATATGATGGTAAATTCTCCTCTAAGAACAGTGGTCCAACTGGCATTATTAATAAGTTGTTGGAACCCCGGTGTGTTCCCCAAATACTTGATCCTCACTGATTCGAAATGAGGCCAGTTTTTTCCTTCATACTTTGATCTGCTTAGAAAATCCTACTCATGCTTTTTATCTGCCATCCTACTGAGGTGATTATCTTTTTGTAGATTTGTATAAGTTCCTTACAAAAATGACCAGCAAACCTAAAGATTAAATTTATTTTCCAAATCAGCTTTTAACTTTATGAACATTTTCTTTGTAAATTAGTTTTTATGTGGTCAAATCCACCAGTAATGCAACAATCAGGACAGAAAATTTATCATATTTTTAATGCACAAATAATTAAATGATGAAATGTACTTAGACGTGAAAATATACCAAACTCAGTGTGGCAACAGATCAAGTTCTTTTCCCCTCTGCTCTTCTGTTTTCCAAATTATCTCTAACACACACAGTATTGTTTTTAAAAGAAAAAACAAAAATCGACTAAGACTGTTCTGGACACAAGCAATGGGGCATGGGTTAATAATCCACCAGCAACAAGGGGAGTAAAGTTAATGCTGGCTGCTTCCCAAGGGCGTAACAGCTTCTTACCACCCAACTGTGGCAACATACTCACACCAACACAACCAACAAAAGGAAGAACCAGAACCCGACAACACTGGGATGCAGAGATCACAGTCCAAAGCTGCCCAGCCAGTCCCACACACAGGCCAGCGCCCCGTGTCCTTGTGGATGGGCAGGCCTGGGGGCAACCATAGGTCAACCACTGCCACAGTCAGCAACCAGAATTCTCACAGCAGGGACGGCCTCACTCACCTGTGCCCTGCAAGACTTAAAGAACCTTCTCCTCAGGACACTCCCCGTTGGACATCGGAGCGCGACAGTGACCACCTGGGGCACAAAGATGTTCACATTAGAATTCCGATCCACTGCTCCCGCAGCTCCAGAAGCACACACGGAGAGCGGCAGGCACTCCGCTCTGAACAGGGGTCCGGATGAAGTTCACCCTCAACGCCGAAATAATTCTTCCAGAACGAAGGCGAGCGTCCTCCTCCGGCCTGCGGAAGGCAGCAGGGACTGCAGGTGTCTCTGCCCAGACGGCAGCAGGCCTTCCGAGGGACCGCAACAGGAAAACACAGCGTGGGGGAGCAAGTACTGCATATTATAACATCTACAAATTTCAAACATTCACTACAATAAATTTATATTTTTAAATAATTTTTTTTTAATTTGAGAGATAGAGTAGACAAAAGCATATATACAGAGAGAACTCCTATCTGCTAGTTCACTCCTCAAATGCCTGCAACGGCCTGGACTGGGCTGGGCTGAAGCTGGGAGCCAGGAGCACAGTCCAAGTCTCCCATGCGGGCGGCAGGGACTGAACTGCCTGAGCCACCGTCCCTGCTCCCAGGACCTGCATTAGCAGGAAAGGGGCCGAGAGCCAGGGTCGAGCACTAAAGACAGGCACTCTGCTGCCGGATTGCAGGCATCTTGACTACCACACACCTGCCCTTTAAACTGAATTCCATTTTTCCACAAGCTTTTTGAAGTACCTTCAGAGAGAGAGAGAGAGAGAGAGAGAGAAAGAGAGAAGGAAAGGGAGAGAGCGATCTTCCATCCAGCGGTTCACTTCCTAAATGCTTGCAACAGCCAGGGCTGGGCCAGGCTAAAGTCAGGGGCCAGGAACTCTATCCTGGCCTCCCGCATGGGTGACAGGAACCCACATACTGGAGCCATCAATTGCTGCCACCCAAGATCATCAACAGGAAGCTAGATAGAAGCAGAGGAACCCGAACTCAAAGCAGCACTATGATATGCAGGCATCCCGTGCGGTACCTTAACCCACTGCACCCAAAACGCCTACTCTGATACAAGACATTTCTACTTCATCGCTATTACTTCTACTAAACAAAAGGTTTATAATAAATTATAAAATAAATCACAGGATTAAAAGCAAATTTTGCTGATTTTTTTTTATTTTTATTTTTATTTATTTATTTATTTATTTTTTTTTGACAGGCAGAGTGGACAGTGAGAGAGAGAGACAAAAGAGAAAGGTCTTCCTTTGCCGTTGGTTCACCTTCCAATGGCCGCCGCGGCCGGTGCGCTGCGGCCGGCGCACCGCGCTGATCCGATGGCAGGAGCCAGGAGCCAGGTGCTTTTCCTGGTCTCCCATGGGGTGCAGGGCCCAAGCACCTGGGCCATCCTCCACTGCACTCCCTGGCCACAGCAGAGAGCTGGCCTGGAAGAGGGGCAACCGGGACAGAATCCGGCGCCCCAACCGGGACTTGAACCTGGTGTGCCGGCACCGCAAGGCGGAGGATTAGCCTAGTGAGCCGCGGCGCCGGCCAAATTTTGCTGATTTTTTTAAAAACAATATTTAGCTTTTTCATTCAGGTTTTGTTTAAGCTGCAATGATCTAGTAGAATTTAAAGCCAACTGCTGGGACCAGTGTGTGGCACAGTGGGTTACGCCACTGCTTTCGATGCCTGCATCCCATATGAGTGCCTGTTCAAGTCCCAGCTGCTCTGCTTCTAATCTAGCTCCCTGCTAATGTGCCTTGGAAAGCAGCAGAGGATGGCCCCAAGCACCTGGGCCCCGCCACCCAGGTGGGAGACCCAGATGGTGTTCCAGGCTCCTGGCTTCAGCCTGGCCCAGCCCTGGCTGTTGTGAATTTTTGGGAAGTAAACCAGCAGATGGAAGATCTCTCTGTCACTCTGCCTTTTCAAATAAATAAATATTTTATAAACAGAAAAGGCCAACTGTGTTATGAGGAACCAGGGTTAAAATATAGTAAATTACAGGCGGGTATTATGGCCCAATAGGTACACATCCACATTCTACAATGAAGTGCCTGGGATCAAATTCCACTTCTGCTCCCAATCCAGCTTCCTGCTAACAAGCCCAGGAGGCAGCAGAAGACAGCCCAAGAACTTGGGTTCCAACCACCCATGTGGGAAACCTGGATGGAGTTCTTGGCTTTGGCTTGGCCCAACCCCGGTTGTTGTGGGCATTTGGGGAGTAAACCAGAGGACGGAAGATCTCTCCCTCTGTCTCTCTGACACCCTGCTTTTCAAATAAATAAATCTTTTTTTTTTTTTAAATATAGTGAATGAATATTTTTAATTATGATAAGACAAATACTTGTGGGAAATGAACTATCACTATTTGAAATGTGGCAACTTTCTATTATATTTACTCTGAGGGTTGGCTATGCAATTTCTCCTAATATTATTAGCAGTGCAGAGGGCTGATGTATGAATAGATAAAAATGCACGGGCCACAAACCAAACTGGGAAGTAAGTCAGGCTCCCAAACAGTCTGCTAAATGAAATTTAACTCAAAAGTAGAAGCCACAATTAAAATTTGTTTTCCCAGTACTCTTGAAATAAGATAACATACAATGAAAATAATTGCCATGGAAATATATGATGATTTATAAAATTATTTCCAAATTATCTTACAATCTATGGCTACTGAATTTTCAAGTTAACAGTGGAACTGTGGAGTAAGTCTTGTGGTACGGTGGGTTAAGTCACTGCTTGGGACATCTGTGATACATAGTAGAGTGCCTGGGGTTGAATCCTGCCTCTGCTTCCAATTCAGCTTCCTGCTAACACACAACCTGTTAGGCAGCAGACGACAGCTCAGGTACCTCGTCTCTGCCACATGCGAGACCTGGATGAAGTTTCTGACTCCTAACTTTGGCCTGGCCCAGATCCAGCTATTGTGGGTATCTAGGAAGTGAGCCAGCAGATGGAAGATCTCTCTCTCTTGTTGCTATGCCTTTCCAATAAATAAAAATAAGTAAACTTTAAAAAATAAAAGTGAAACAGTAACATAAGGTGAATATTCTATTGAGAATGGATTTCCATGAATTATTATCTTCTCCCATTGAAAAATTTAAACATCATTGGTATTTTAATTCTGTAGATAGCTATAATACTAAACACGTAACAGGCCCTGAATAAGTCAAAGTGTACTATGCAAGTAAGAACTGTATTATTTTTCAGATCCCTCCTTCTGCTATTAGAAATCCATGTAGGGGGCCGGCGCCGCGGCTCACTAGGCTAATCCTCCGCCTTGCGGCGCCGGCACACCGGGTTCTAGTCCCGGTCGGGGCACCGGATTCTGTCCCGGTTGCCCCTCTTCCAGGCCAGCTCTCTGCTGTGGCCAGGGAGTGCAGTGGAGGATGGCCCAGGTGCTTTGGGCCCTGCACCCCATGGGAGACCAGGAAAAGCACCTGGCTCCTGGCTCCTGCCATCGGATCAGCGCGGTGCGCCGGCCGCAGCGGCCATTGGAGGGTGAACCAACGGCAAAAAGGAAGACCTTTCTCTCTGTCTCTCTCACTGTCCACTCTGCCTGTTAAAAAAAAAAAAAAAAAAAAAAAATCCATGTAGGTCCCTCATCCATTAATCTGCTCTTAAATCCAAGCAGGCTTGCAGTATATCAAGAATTTTCTCATCTGGTTCAATATTATAACAGAGTCACAGGTACTACCCATACAGAAATGTACAAGGAGATGTCAGTAAATTCATCAAAAATGGAATCAAGTTTATTTTGGGGGTGGGCGTCCTGGCGCACTGGGTTACCAGCACTTGGGAGGCTCACACCACATCCCAGAGTGCTGGTGGAGGCCCAGCTCCTCCACCCGGGATCCAGCTTCCTGTTACTGCATCTGGGGAAGCAGCAGATGAGAGCCCAAGTACTTGGGAGACTCAGATGGAGTTCCTGGCTCTTTTCTCTCTCTTACTCCTTCTCCATCTCCCTCTGTATGCTGCCTTTTAAATAAATTATTCTTTAAAAACATGTTGGGGGCCCAGCATGTGACTTCCTAACAGCAGGTTAAGCTACTGCCTACAACACTAGAATCCCAACTGCTCAGCTTCTGATCCAGCTCCCTGCTAATGACCCTGAGAAAGCAGCAGAGGATGGCCCAAGTGCTTGGACTCCTGCTACCCACATGGGAGACCTGGAAGAAGCTCCTGGCTTCAGCCTGGCCCAGCCCTGACCATAGCAAGGATTTGGGAAATGACCCAGCATACTAAAGATCTCTGTTTTTCTGTCTCTCCCTCAACCGCTATTACCCTGCCTTTCAAATTAAAAAAAAAAAATTATAGACTTATTTATTTATTTGAAAGAGTTACAGGGGGAATGTGGGGGAGAGAGAGAGAGAGAGATCTCCTATAAACTGGTTCATGCCCCAGATGGACATAAATGGCCAGGCTGAAGCCAGGAGCTTCATCTGGGTCTTCCACATGGGTGGCAGGGGGCCCAAACATGTAGGCCATCTTCCCCTGCTTTTCCCAGGCCATTAGCAGGGGACTTGATCAGAAATGGAGCAGCCAGGATACAAATTGGCACCCATATGGGATGCTGGTGTTGCAGGTGGCAGCCTAACCTGCTATGCCATAGTGCCAGCCCCAATAAACTTATCTTTTAATTCTATTTTCTACAAATTGTTTGAAGTACTCTTGTACATGTATATGAAAGCTTCATCTAGTTCTTATCTTTTTTAAAAAGATTTATTTATTTTAAAGGCAGAGTTACACGAGAGAGAGAGAGAGAGAGAGAGAGAGAAAGAGAAAGAAAGAGAAAGAGAGAGAGAGAGAGAGAGAGAGAGAAAGAGAGAAAGAGAGAGAGAGAGAGAGAGACTGACCTTCCATCTGCTGGTTCATTCCCCAAATGGCCACAATGGCCAGGGCTGAGACAAGCCAAAGCCAGGAGCCCAAAACGCCATCTGGGTCTCCCACGTGGGTGCAGGAGCTGAAGCATTTGAGCCATCCTCCACTGCTTTCCCAGGCCATTAGCAGGGAGCTGGATTCAAAGCCGGGTCTTGAGCTGGTGCTCATATTAAATGCTGGCATGAGAGACAGTGGCTTTACCCACTGCATAACAACACCTCCCTGGAAGTACTTTGCTAGGGTCATAAGGTGGGAGCTGGCTGGAAAGGTTACAGTCCCCAAATAGAATGCTTACCCCCCCCCCTTTTTTTTTTCTTTTTTCTTTTTTTTTTGTTTGGCTTTAAACTTTTTTTTTTTTTTTAAGATTTATTTTATTTATTCAAAAGACAGTTACAGAGAGAGAGGTAGAGACAGAGAGAGAGGTCTTCCATCCGATGGTTCACTCCCCAGATGGCGGCAACGGCTGGAGCTGCACCAATCTGAAGCCAGGAGCCACAAGCTTCTTCCAGGCCTCCCACGTGGGTGCAGGGGCCCAAGGACTTGGGCCTTCTTGTACTGCTTTCCCAGGCCATAGCAGAGAGCTGGATTGGAAGTGGAGCAGCTGGACTCGAACCATCCCATATGGGATGCTGGCACTTCAGGCCAGGTATTTAACCTGTGCACCACAGCACCGGTCCTCTTAACTTTCTTTTTTTAAAGATTTATTTATTTATTTAAAAGATTTACACAGAGAGAGGGGGAGAGGCAGAGAGAGACAGGTCTTCCATTCACTGGTTCACTCCCCAGTTGACTGCATCGGCTGGAGCTGAGGCAATCTAAAGCCAGGAGCCAGGAGCTTCTTCTGGGTCTCCCATGTGGGTGCAGGGGCCCAAGGACTTGGACCATCCTCTACTGCTTTCCCAGGCCATAGCAGAGAGCTGGGTCAGAAGTGGAGCAGCCAGGACTCAAACCGGCGCCCATATGGGATACTGGCATTGCAGGCAGCAGCTTTACCGCCCATACCACAGCGCCAGCCCCCAGCTTTTAACTTTCTTGATGATAACATGTCAAGCTTAAAGACTGTTGACACATTATTGTGGAAAAGCGTTGAGCGGAGGCAGACATGTCTAGAGGAACCAGGCCTGGGAACAGGTGAGCAGATCAGGGGGAAGAGAACAAGACAGAGTGAGAAAATCACTGAAAGATGGAATGGGATGTGTGAAGCCATCCGAGACCATGAATGGCTAGCAGGCAATAAAGAACTTTTTCAGTGAATTCTTCAAAATCCATGCGCACTGGTAACTGTACAGATAGAAAAAGCCCGACCCCCAAGGATGATCCTGTTAGGATCACAATGTTTCATTGTTATTGTCTCTTGATTAGTACAAAGTAGAATGTTCTATAAAAGTATCAAATAGCATCAATTACACATTCATAGTGTCCACTACAAGACCTCATTATAAAATATAAACATTGCTTGTACCAATTAATTCAGTGTCTAGAAATCATATGTTGTATATATATTTTTAAAGACTTATTTATTTATTTGAAAGTCAGAGTTACAGAGAGAGAGGAGAGGCAGAGAGAGAGAGATCTTCCATCCACTGGTTCACTCCCCAACTGGCTGCAATGGTCAGAGCTGGGTCCATCCGAAGCCAGGAGCCAGGAGCTTCTTCCAGGTCTCCCATGCGAGTGCAAGGGCCCAAACACTTGGGCCATCTTCTACTGCTTTCCCAGGCCATAGCAGAGAGCTGGATCAGAAGTGGAGCAGTCGGGACTCGAATTGGCACCCATATGGGATGCTGGCACTGCAGGCAGCAGCTTTACCCACTACGCCACAGTGCCAGCCCCATGTTGTATATATTTGTATATATATATTTGTATATATTTGACATGTGCATTTTTCAAGTAATAATTATTTACTATAATTCTGTTGACCAAAAAGGAAGCAGACAGAAGCAATAAGCAGAGAAGGGAGAAGCAAATGGAACCAGGACTGCTTATACAGTGACTGAGAGGAGAGTACCAGGGAGAGGCGGGACCCCTGGCTTTAATCCTGGTCCCGGCAGCAGGCACTGGGACCCTCCATCTCCCGTGGTGTCAGCCTCAGCTGAGATGGAATGAGACTGTTCCGAAGTCTGCTCTAGCTCCAGAATGCCACCGCTGTCACATTTCCGTAAAGGAGTGTAACACAGAAAGCCATCTGCCAAATATGGGGAGAAGGTGGCCAGGCAGCAAAATGCAGCGCTGATCAGTCACACAAGGAGAGCAGCGCCGCCCGCCAGCGCCGGCGCCGGCCTCTGCACCTGCTTCTCAGCCCATGAGGGTCACAGACCCAAACTTCGGCAGGAACATACAGCCGTCTCCCATCATCACAGAGAGGCGCAGCTCCCAGGGATTCGCTGAGCCCTGATGTTCGCGATCCACAAACCTCAGTCCCGAGCTGTGCTTCTGCAGGAATCCCCTCATGTACTGCAAAGCCAGGGTTCATTCATAAAAGTCTCTTCCTGCCGGGCCTACGCTAGACCTAATTACTCCTGTGTCACACAATGGCTGTGCTGGATACCAACCCAGGGCCTGATGAGAAGTGAGGATCGGGACAGGACACGGACAGGGAATCAGGAGTCTTTAAAAAAGCTGTTTTTCGGCCGGCGCCACGGCTCACTAGGCTAATCCTCAGCCTTGCGGCGCCGGCACACTGGGTTCTAGTCCCAGTCAGGGCGCCGGATTCTGTCCCGGTTGCCCCTCTTCCAGGCCAGCTCTCTGCTGTGGCCAGGGAGTGCAGTGGAGGATGGCCCAAGTGCTTGGGCCCTGCACCCCATGGGAGACCAGGAGAAGTACCTGGCTCCTGCCATCGGATCAGTGCGGTGCGCCGGCCGCAGTGTGCTGGCCGCAGCGGCCATTGGAGGGTGAACCAACGGCAAAGGAAGACCTTTCTCTCTGTCTCTCTCACTGTCCATTCTGCCTGTCAAAAAAAAAAAAAAAAAAAAAAGCTGTTTTTCTCCCACGGGTCATGAGTCAGCACTGTACACTTGCACTGTCTCTATCTCTGTGGGACTTGCAGGTTTTCCTCAGCTATCCAAAGTACTCATCTCAAATTTTATGAATGTGGTAACAAAAATGTGGCCCTTCCAGGGCAGGCATTTGGAGGACTGGTTAAGCTACTGGTTGGGATGCCTGCATACTGTATCAGAGTTTCTGGGTTCAAGTCCCATCTCCCCTTCTGACTGTAGCATCCTGGGAGGCAGCAGGTAATGGCTCAAGGACTTGGGCACCTGCCACCTACGTGGGAGACCAAGACTGAGTTCCAACTTCTGGCTTTGGCCTGGCCCAGCCCTGGCTATCGTGGGCACTTGGGGAGTGAACCAGCACGTAGAAGATGTCTACCTGTCTCTGTCTTTCAAATAAATAAAGATAAATAAGATTTTTAGGCTAAAAAAAAAGAAACAAGAAAAATAAGACCCTCCCGATCGCTTTCATGGCTGCTGCAAAAATGGTTCTGTGTTGAACAGCACAGTAGGTGGAGAGCCCCGGGAAGGTGAAGGCCAGGTGGTGGCTCCTGAGCAGCGCTCAGATGCCTTCCTGGCTGTAAAGGCGTGTGCTCTCCGCCCATCACAGGTGTGTGACCTCAGTGGCCAGGAAAGGAGGGCAGCACAGATTGACAAAGCGGCTGGGAGGAAGCAGCTCAGTGCACAGTGGGGACGAGCCCACCCCCAGGCCCCCAACAGCAAGCCGTCCTCAAATTACAACATCCATAAGACCGTGTGCAACCTTCACTGCGTATTCAATTTGGAGTCATCTTCCAATTTTCATTTTGTTGAAGTAGGTACCTTGTTTGCTGACCCGAAGGTCTGGAAAAGCCCGTATGTACATTGGCCTGAGGCAATAAGTGAGTGAAGTGGCTCTAAAAGAGAGCAGGCTGGGGCCAGCACTATGGCATAGTGGTTAAGCCTCCGCCTGCAGCACTGGCATCTCACATGGACACTGGTTTGAGTCCTGGCTGCTCTATTTCCTATCCAGCTCTCTGCTATGGCCTGGAAAGGCAGTAGAAGATGGCCCAAGAGCTTGGGCCCCTGCACCCACGTGGGAGACCCAGAAGAAGCTCCTGGCTCCTGGCTTTAGATTGGCTCAGCTCCAGCCATTGCAGCCATTTGGGGAGTGAAGCAGCAGATGGAAGACCTTTCTCTCTATATCTCTCTCTCTCTGTCTGTAACTCTGTCTCTCAAATAAATAAATAAAATCTTAAAAAAAAAAAAAAAAAGACAGCAGGCATCCAAAGCAGGACTCAACCAAGGGCTGAAGGGATGACACCAACATTCAGGACAAAACCCACCTACAGTGCAATCCTGTGAGCACTGTTGCTCTTTCTTTCTTCACCCAAGTTCAGATAAGACATACTTAATGTTAAACAAGAAAACAGAAGACACATTTAAACTCTCAAAGAAAGAAATAAGCTTACTTCTCTAGCTGTTGGAGAAGGCTCTTCAGGTAGATCAACAACCTAAAGAAAAACAAACACTGGTGAGAGGAATGTCAATGTTTCAAGATGAGAAGGAGGACTGCTCAATGAAAAGGATTCCTTTCAGTATAGAGTTTAGATGCAGCTAAGCTTAATGTAACCTTTTATTTCAATATATTTGTAAAGTATTTACAATGGGGCTGGTGCTATGGCACATCAGGTTAGGCCACTGCCTCCAATGCCAGCACCCCATATGGGTGCTTGGTTCAAGTCCCAGCTGCTCCACTTCCAATCCAACTCCAGGCTAATGCGCCTGAGAAAGCAGGGGAAGATGGCCCAAGTACATAGGTCTCTGCCGCTCACATGGGAGACCCGGATGGAGTTCCAGGCTCCTGGCTTTGGCCTGGCCCAGCCTGGACTATTATGGCCATTTGGGGAGTGAACCAGTGGATAGAAGACTGAATCTCTCTCTCTCCTCCCCCGCCTCTCTATGCACATCTGCCTTTCAAATAATAAATAAATAAATATTTTTAAAAAAGAGTTTATAATGAAAATAGGAGCTCAATTAATAAACACTACTGAGTAAGCAACTTTGTGTTAACAACAATTCATGAAAATAAAATTTAAGATGGCAACTACACAATTAAAAATTTTTGATTTTATGATATCCAAAGATAGTATATGAGAATGCTTCAAGTTTGTGGGAAATGGAATAAAAAGATAAAGTTAGGGGAGGGCATTTGGCCTAGCAGTTAAGACCCTGATCAGAATGCCTGAGTCCCACCCTAGACTGGTGTGTGGCACAGTGGCTTAAACTCATTGCCTGCACACCAGCATCCCAAGTAATATTGATTCAAGTCCTGGCTGCTCTAATTCTGATCCAGCTCCCCACTAACGCACCTTGGAAAGCAGTGGAAAATGGTCCAAGTGCTTGGGCCTGGGTTGCCCATGTGGGAGACCCAGAGGGAGTTCCAGGTTCCTGGTTTCAACCTGGCCCAGCCCCGGCTATTGCTCCCTCTCCCTCAGTAACTCTGCCTTTCAAATATATAAGTATTAAAAACAAAAAGAAAGAAAGAAAAAAGAATTCCTGAGTCTCATACTGGAGTCCCTGGCTTCCATAACAACCTGACTCCCTGTAATAGCATCGTGCTAATGCGCACCCTAGAGGCAGCAGGCGATGGGCCAAACTAACTGGGTTCCTGCCTCATATGTGGGAGACCTAGATGGGGTTACTAGCTCCCAATTTTGGCCTCAAGGCCATTATGAACTTTAAAATATATATATATGTATATATAATTTTTTTTTTCATTTGAAAGACAGAGACAGAAAGAGACAGATCTTTCACCCACTGGTTCACTCCCCAAATGTCTGCAACAGGCAGGGCTGGGCTAGGCTGAAGCCAGGAGCTGGGAACTCCATCCAGGTCTCCCACGTAGCTGGCAGGGACCCAGGTAATCACCACCTGCTGCCTCCCAGAGTGTTCACTGGCAAGACACCAGACTGGCCATGTGGGATGTGGGCGTCCCAAGTGGAGACTTAACTGCTATGCCACACATCTACCACAGGTCTCACTGCAGGCATTTGAGGAGCGAACCAGGGGATGCAAGCTCTCTCCTATCCATGTCTCTCTCTGCCTCTCCAATAAATAAATAAATAAATAATTTACTGTAAAAAAGATAAATTTGTTGTGGTACAAAGAAATTTTTAAAAATCCATCATTTTTTAATAGCATGCATTTTCCATGAACTTAAAGTATCCACATATAAATTACTGTTTTAAAGAAACAGATAAATGTTAACATGAATTAAGCCTTAATAAGACCCTCAAAGTATTAAAGTTCACACACACACACACACACACACCCCACACACGCACATCTTAATAGGAATACAGTATTTCTCTTCATTGGTGCTCCTGGGGACTGGGCAGCAACCATCCACTTTGATTGCTTTTGTCCTTTTATTCACATTTCCCTCTCTCTGTTAATCTATTAGAAACCAGAAGTTCAGATCATTTTCTCTCACTAAAACCACTGTTGGGGCCAGAGCTGTGGCATAGCAGGCTAAGCCACCACTTGCAGCATCAACATATCACAGTGACAGTTCAAGTTCCAGTTACTCTGTTTCTGATCTAGCTCCCTGCTAAAGCCCCTGTGAAGGGAGTGGAAGATGGCCCAAGTGCTTGGGCCCCTGCACCCATGTGGGAGACCCAGAAGCAGCTCTGGCTCCTGGCTTTGGGTCAGCTCAGCTCTGGCCACTGTGGCCCATCTAGGGAGTGAACCAGCGGATGGAAGACCTTTCTCCCTGTCTCTCCCCCTCTGTCTATAACTCCACCTCTCAAGTAAATAAAACCCACATGTGACTGTCAAACAAAATTTCCCATCAGCAGGGGATAATGTTACCAACGAAGAGCAAAGCAAGTTTAATGACTCCATGGAGCTGACGACAGGTGTGTGAAATGTTAACAGTCCAATAACCTCATTCGCCCTCTCACACTCTGCGACGGCCCCAGGAAATCTCCACCTTGAAGGGCAAGGTAATGCACACTACCCTCAGGGACGAGGCAGCCCCCAGCTCTCGCCAGGAGTCAGAAAAACAGCTCTCTCTGCTCCAACCTTTGCCAACTGCAAATTAAAATCGACTCAGGGATTAAAGATGTGAAAGCAGCACAGGACTAATAAACCTGGGCCCTATTCCAAAGTGACTGATGGCTGGCCGCGAAGGGTGAGTGAGGAAAATCACACACTCACGCTGACTGCAGGAATCAGCCTCTCACGAAACACAGCTTAATAACAGGTTAAGCTGCCTAACAGGAATGGCTCCCTTAGTAAACACTGTATTTTCTGTCTCTACATAATATTATTTCCTCAGTAAGAATGATTTTCTGATTGTGCTATCATTTATCGCTATAGCTTTCCTCTACATTAATATCAAACACTCTATTACTCTTAAAGATTAACATGAAAACAAAAATCTTACACCTCACCCGCAGGGAAACTGATCACTTTCGATGGTGGTGGGATTGAGTCCCAGATTAAAAGCCAGCTGCCCCCTTCACCCAGTCTGCCTGCCACAAGACAGTACTCCCACTGTGCACGGCTACAGTTCAAGGAGCAAGGATTAAGCAACAAACCTCCTTCTGCACGGGCTGGACGGCAGGTGGCAGAGCTTCCCGTGGAGGCTTGCGTCTCCTCGCTGCATCCTGGCAAGAGGTTTCCGAAGACGTGGGATTTGCATCTTCAGGCACCAAATCTTCATCGCCCTGGTCAGAAACAGACAATTTCTGAAACAGACGGTCTCGGTCCATTTCATCCTACTGACATTGGCGCCCTCTCTAATCCTGAAGGCATTTCAGTAGAAAACAGGAGTCTAAAGTCAGCCATCATTAGACCCAGGCAATTAAAGCATTACCTCCTTGACAAGAAAACTGCAGGCTTAGAGTGGTCCAGAAACCACCCTCAGCCAGCTCTGGGACCCCAGCTCAGAGGCAAGGCTGGAAAAGGCCCTTCCCTCTGCGACTAACCCCCGGTCTCTCAGCAGGACGGAAAGGGAAAAAGCCCGAATGACATCGTTTCCTGCTGTCAGCAAGGAAGCAAGGGGGTGCACGGGGCGATGGCTTCAGAGACCAGGAACACAGGACACCTATGTAAAAGCCTACGGCTGGACTCAGGAGTGTGTTACACAGAAACACATTTTAGGTTTCAAACTTTCACCTTCCTTTTTTTTTCTTTTTTAAGAATTATTTATTGGGGCCAGCACTGTGGTACAGTGGGTTAAAGCCTGGCCTGCAACGCCAGCATCCATGTGGGCGCCGGTTCCAGTCCCAGCTGCTCCTCTTCCAGTCCAGCTCTCTCTTATGGCCTGGGAAAGCAGTAGAAGATGACCCAAGTCCTTGGGCCCCTGCACCCGTGTGGGAGACCCGGAAGAAGCTCCTGGCTCCTGGCTTCGGATCAGCACAGCTCCTGTCGTTGCGGCCATCTGGGGAGTGAACCAGCGGAGGGAGGACCTTTCTCTCTCTCTCTCTACCTCTCTCTGTAACTCTTTCAAATAAACAAAATAAACCTTCAAAAAAAAAAAAAGATTTATTTATTTATTTGAAAGTCAGAGTTACACAGAGAGAGAAGGAGAGACAGAGAGAGATCTTCCATCTGCTGGTTCACTCCCCAGTCGGCTGCAACGGCTGGAGCTGCGCCCATCCAAAGCCAGGAGCTTGCTCTGGGTCTCCCAGATGGGTGCATAGGCCTAAGCAGTTGGGCCATCTTCTACTGCTTTCCCAGGCCATAGCAGAGAGCTGGATTGGAAGAGGAGCAGCCAGGACTAGAACCGGTGCCCAAACGAGATGCCGGCACTGCAGGTGACGGCTTTACCCACTACGCCACAGCGCTGGGCCCTTACCTTCCATTTTAATCACTTCAAGAGGCAAAGGCTTTTATTCAAGGTTATCATAAAGATTACCAGGGTAATCACATTAATATTAGTTATTAAAATTTTCACCTTAGCAAAATAATTTACCCAAATGTCAACTCTCGAACAGATGGCCCTCTATACCCATGGGTCTGACACCCACAAAGTCAACCCACTGCATATTGAAAATACTTTTCAAAACAAGAGTGTGTATTGAACATGTACAGACTTCGCCTCCTTGTCATTAGTCCCTGTCCTGCACAGTGTAACAAAGCATTTACATTGTGACAGGTATCATAAGTAACATAGAGATAATTTAAATATACGAGAGGATGAGTATAAGAAATTTTACTCAAATACTACAGCACTTTACAGAAGGGAGAGGCATAGATTTTGGTATGGTGGAGGGCCCCGGAACCAGTACAGGGACCCTGAGGGAGGACAGTATATGCCTACTTGGTTCAATAACTCCTTCCTTCCATAGCCACTAGCCTTGGAGAAGAGAAAGTTCTCCTCGTCATACCACAAAAGGTCTGGCCCTTTTCCTTCAGAGTAAGAAAACCAGTGGCAGGAGCATGGGAAAGGGGAACCCCAAGATCTTAATGCCAGTACCAGCCAAGCCCAGGCTGACTCACCACCAACCCCAGCACTGGAACTGAGGGATGTACTTTCTTATCTTCATGGTCTCTATTTTTTTTTAAGGTTTATTTATTTATTTGAAAGGTAGAGTCAGAGAAAGAGATAAAGACAGAGGTCTTCCATCCAGTAGTTCACGATCCAAATGGCTGCAACAGCTGGATCTGGACTGATCTGAAGCCAGGAGGCAAGAGTTTCTACTGGGTCTCCCACATGGGTGCAGGGGCCCAAGTACTTGGGTCATCTTCCACTGCTTTCCCAGGCACATGAGCAGGGAGCTGGATCAGAAGTGGAGCAGCCAGGACTTGAACCGGTGGCCATATGGGATGCTGGCACTGCAGGCAGGTGCCCCTATCTTCATGTTCTTTAATAGTCCTAATGGCCTTAAGTCATAAGGACACCAACAGCCTACCCTGTCTACCTGACATTTTGTTGTGCCCATTAATCGAGTTAAAAATAGAAACTATTTTTAACTAGACCTAGCCCCTAGCTTAACAGCAACAGGCTAATGACTATTTTTGAAAGAGAACTTGCCACAGTAGAAAAAATCCAATAAACCCACCAATGTCAACCCCAAAATGGAACAGAAGACAAACTCAACCCTGAGGCAAAACCACAGAGCAGGTGTTCAGCCCAGTGGTTAAGCTGGAACTTGGGATACCCACATCCCTTAACAGGATGCCAGTGTTGGAGTCTTGGCTCTGTTCCCCCTTCCAGCTTCCTGTGAATGTACACTCTGTTGGCACCAGGTGATACTTATGTGAGTATCTGGGTTGCTATCACCCATGTGGGAGAACTGTATTAAAGTTCCTGGCTTCTGGCTGGCGCCGCGGCTCAATAGGCTAATCCTCCGCCTTGCGGCGGCGCCGGCACACCGGATTCTAGTCCGGGTCGGGGTGCCAGATTCTGTCCCGGTTGCCCCTTTTCCAGTCCAGCTCTCTGCTGTGGCCCAGGAGTGCAGTGGAGGATGGCCCAGGTCCTTGGGCCCTGCACCCCATGGGAGACCAGGAGGAAGCACCTGGCTCCTGCCTTCGGATCAGCGCGATGCGGCAATTGGGGGGTGAACCAATGGCAAAAGGAGACCTTTCTCTCTGTCTCTCTCTCTCCCTGTCCACTCTGCCTGTTAAAAAAAAAAAAAAAAAAAGTTCCTGGCTTCTGGCTTCCACCTGGCTCAGCCCTGCCTATTGCAGGCACTTGGGGACTGAACCAGGAGACCGGCAATTTCTCTCTCTTCTCCTTCTCCCTGCCTCTCCACCTCTTGAATAAAACTAAGTAAATTTCTAAAAATCTATAAAAATAAGAGAAATCACGACTTAAAAGTTGCATTTTATGTTGCCTATCTTTCACGCTAACTTTATGATCTACTCTTGATTATGACATTTTTATCACTATGAATGAATACGGTAAAAACTGACATGGTTAGAGGTCAGCACTGTGGCATATTAGGCTAGACCAATCTGCCTATGGTGCTGGCATCCTATATGGGCACCTGTTGCTCCTCTCTGATCCAGCACCCACGAGGGAGACCCGGAAGAAGCTCCTGGCTCCTGGCTTTGGATCAACAAGCTCCAGCCATTGCAGCCATTTGGGGAGTAAACCAGCGGATGGAAGACCTTTCTCTCTGTCTCTCCCTCTCTCTCTGTAAGTCTACTTCTCAAATAAATAAATAAAATCACTTAAAAAAATGATATGGTTCACTATAAAAATCCTGTTTACCTTTACTGGATCGTTTTCTTTACAAGGTGGTTAAGAGATAAAATATAAATAGAGGGGCCGGCGCAATGGCGCAGTAGGTTAATCCTCCGCCTGCAGCGCCAGCATCCCATATGGGCACTGGTTCTAGTCCCGGCTGCTCCTCTTCCAGTCCAGCTCTCTGCTATAGCCTGGGAAAAGCTTCTGGCTTCTGGCTTTGGATCAGCGCAGCTCAGGCCGTTGCAGCTATTTGGAGACTGAATCAACGAAAGGAAGACCCTTCTCTCTGTCTCTCTCTCTCTCACTGTCTGTAACTCTACCTCTCAAATAAATAAACAAATATATATATATATGTATATAAAATAGAAAGGAAACATCAAAAATTCAGGAACATCTTTGGCACAGGAATGGCCCAAATCTGTGCTGAGTTACCCTAAGGCTTCATGTCTTTATGAATATCCAAACTCTGTAAGAAAACTTAAATTATAAACTGCTATTAGGAAATTTAAAACTTCATACACAATACTAAAGGAAAAAAATAGCCGAAGGCTAACTGCACTCTAAAGTAACAGCCAAATGGGGTGGGTATCGCAGCTCAGCAGCTCAAGCTGCCACTTGGGACACTTACATCCTACATCAGAGTTCAGTTCAACTACTACCCTGCTTCTAACCCAGCTTCCTGCTAATGCGTCAGGGAAGGCATCGGATGATGGCGCAAGGACTTGGGCTGCCCGTAAGGGAGACCCAGACGCAGCTTCAGGTTCCTGGCACTGGCCTTGCCCGCTCCTTGCTGTTGGGCAGAGAAAGAGCAGATGGAAAGGCTCTGTCTCTCCCTCCCTGTCACTCTGCCTTTCAAATGTATAAAAAATCTAAAACAAACAAGCAAACAAACAAAAACCACCAAACAGAATGAATAGAATGTGAGTTTAAACCTTGGAGATGTCACTTAAGGAAAGATTAATACTACCCCACAGAGAAAGCAGTGATTTTTAGTGACAGGATTCAAAATACACAATGAGAATATTTCTAACCCCAAGTTTATGTCCACTGCTTAACTTCCAGGTTTCCCCCGTCATTTGATAAAAACGCTCTTCTAGTTTTTTCAACTTCATTTCTTGTTGAGGCTTTAAAACATTCTCCACGTATCTGCTAGCCTGTTTAAAAAAAAATCAGGTGTTAATATATACATTAATGTTTACAAATTTACACTCCCTATAAGACTGTAAATAAGAACCATACAAAAAATTTTTATACTAATTTTTTTTTTGACAGGCAGAGTGGACAGTGAGAGAGAGAGACAGAGAGAAAGGTCTTCCTTTGCCGTTGGTTCACCCACCAATGGCCACTGATCCGAAGCCAGGAGCCAGGTGCTTCTCCTGGTCTCCCATGGGGTGCAGGGCCCAAGCACTTGGGCCATCCTCCACTGCCCTCCCGGGCCACAGCAGAGAGCTGGCCTGGAAGAAGGGCAATCAGGACAGAATCTGGTGCCCAGACCGGAACTACAACCCGGTGTGTTGGCGCCGCAGGCGGAGGATTAGCCTATTGAGCCACGGCGCCGGCCTACACTAATTCAATTTTGCCAGAAATGTAGCTTCTTCCAATTCTGCATCACTTTCTAAAAAGTCACTTTTGTATGTAATACAAACAAAACTGAATGTTTTATACTTAATGCTTGTACGGCAATGTGCTTATGTATGTGTGTGTTTGTGTATTCTTTATGTGCATTTTGTATTTTATTATTTTAATTATATTTATGAGATACAGTGTAATAACTCAATGTACACATTGTAGAATAATCAAGTTAGTCAGCATGTCAACTCCTTAAACATTTAAAAACATTTTTTGATTGGCACTTAATAACTGTACATATTTATGAAGTACACTATGCTTTTTCAATAAATGTATACAATATATACTGATCAAATCAGGGTAATTAATGGTTCCATTTTTTCTTTTTTTTTAAAGATGTATTTATTTATGTATTTGAAAGGCAGAGTTACAGAGAGGCAGAGGCAGAGAAAGAGAGAGATCTTCCATCCGCTGGTGCACTCCCCAGTCCATCTCCTTTTCTCTACTTTATGTCCACCTAGAGCCTTCCCTCTTCTGTTTCTTCCTAGAATATATAACGGGTTATTGTGGACCACAGTGCCCCTGCCCACTGTGCAGCGGAACACTAGGACTTATTCCCCTCATCACACGGTGTTTGGAATCTGTTATCCAACCTCCCTGACCACAGCCAATCCCTACCCTTCCCAGCATCTAGGACTCACTACTCCACATTCAGATCAACTTATGTTTTCAGCTCCCACATATGAGAGAGAATATGCAGTTTTTGTCTTCTGGGTCTTATTTTACTTAACATGTCCTTTAGGTATATCCACATTGCCACAAATGATGTTTGTTTGTTTTTTTGTTTTTTTGTTTTTAAGATTTTGAAAGGCAGATAGAGAGAGGGAAACAAAGAGAGAGAGGTCTTCCACTTGCTGGTTCACTCCCCAAATGGCCACAATGGCCAGAGCTGGGCCAGGGAGTCAGGAGTTTCATCTGGGTCTGTGGATGCAGGGGCCCAAGTATTTGGGCCATCTTCTGCTGCTTTCCCAGGCACATCGTCAGGGAGCTGGATCCGAAGTGGAGCAGCTAGGACTTGAACTGACATCCATATGGGATGCCAGCACTGTAGGCGGAAGCATAACCCTCTATACCCCTCTGAATGCATTCTCTGTGTTTTCACTGTAATACTAGGGACCACAGATATAGAGAAGCACATGATATGGCCCCAACATAGAAAAGTCTGAGCAGTTTGTTCAAAGCATGACTGCCTTCTCTAGGCAGCGGATCCTAGAAAGCACGGACTTGTCGGGAAGAATGCTAGATGTACAGTCCAATCATGCTAAAGTAGAAAATATTCTTGGAGTGAAAAGAACCACAGACTTCTGACTTTATTTAAAAAAAAGAAAAAATATTTGTTTTAAAATTAGAATTAGACAGAAAGAGGGAGAAAGAGAGAGACAGAGAGGCCATCCATCTGCTGATTCATTTCCCAAGTGGCCGCAATGGCTGGGGCTGAGTCAGGCTGAAGCCAGGAGCTTCATCTGGGTCTTCCACATGGGCCACAGGGCTCAAGCACTTGGGCCATCTTCTACTGCCTTTCCAGGAGCACTAGCAGGGAGTTAGATCAGAAATGGAGAAGCTGGGACTCTAACTCCTGCCCATAAGGTATGCTCGCATGGCAGGTGGCTATGCCAGAACGCTGGCCCACCTACCAAATCTTTACAGAAGGATTAACACTGATCCTTCCAAACCCTTCCAGCTCATTTTACAAGGCTAGGATTATTCTGGTACCAAAGCTAAAGATATCATAAAAAACTAAAGACTGTGTAAAAATCTTCAACGCTGGCCAGCACCGTGGCTCACTAGGCTAATCCTCCGCCTGCAGCACCGGCACCCCGGGGTTCTAGTCCCGGTTGGGGTGCTGGATTCTGTCCCGGCTGCTTCTCTTCCAGGCCAGCTCTCTGCTGTGGCCTAGGAGTGCAGTGGAGGATGGCCCAGGTGCTTGGGCCCTGCACCCCATGGGAGACCAGGAGGAAGCACCTGGCTCCTGGCTTCAGATCGGCGAGGTGTGCCAGCCGCAATACACCAGCCGTAGCAGCCACTTGGGTGGTGTACCAACAGAAAAAGGAAGACCTTTCTCTCTCTGTCTCTCTCTCTCTCACTGTCTAACTCTGCCTGTCAAAAATTAAAAAATAATAATAAATTTTAAAAAAATCTTCAACGCTAACACTGGCAAACTCAACCTAACACTATGTTAAAAGAATTATATATAAATACAAGTAGGATTTATCACAAGAATTGCAAGGTAGATCAAAATAATAAAACCTAGCATTATAACACATTGATAGAAGGAAGGGATAGGTGCTGGTGCTGTATCACAGCAGGTTAACTCCCTGGCCTGAAGCACCAGCATCCCATATGGGTCCTGGTTTGAGACCCCAGCTGCTCCACTTCTGATCCAGCTTTCTGCTATGGCCTGGGAAAGCAACAGAAGATGGCCCAAGTCTTTGGGCCTCTGCACCCGCGTGGGAGACCCAGAAGAAGCTCCTGGCTCCTGGATTCAGATTGGCGCAGGTCCAGCTATTGCAGCCATCTGGGGAGCAAACCATCAGATGGAAGACCTCTCTCTCTCTCTCTCTGCCTCTCCTCTCTCAATAGGATAATACTCTGCCTGCAGTGCCAGCATCCCATATGGGCGCGGGTTTTAGTCCTGGCTGCTCCACTTCCAATCCAGCTCTCTGCTGTGGCCTAGGAAAGCAGTGGAAGATGACCCAAGTCCTTGGGCCCCTGAGCCCATGTGGGAGACTGGGAAGAAACACCTGGCTCCTAGCTTCGGATTGGCGCAGCTCCGACCATTGTGGCCATCTGAGGAATAAACCAACAAAAGGAAAATCTTTCTCTCTGTCTCTCCCTCTCACTGTCTGTAACTCTACCTCTCAGATAAATAAATAAAATCTTAAAATAAATAAATACATAAATCTTTTTTTAAAAAAAAAAGGAAGGAGGAAAAAACATGATCAAAAAACTCTGACAAAATCCTATAACCCACTTCATGATAAAAACACTTAACTATAAAGAGGGGGCCAAGCACTATGGCGTCGTAGTGAGTAAAGCCACCACCTGAAGTGCCAGGATCCCAAGTGGGTGCTGGTTTCAGTCCTGGCTGCACTACTTTCAATCCAGCTCTCTGCTGTGGCCTGGGAAAGCAGCAGAAGATGGCCCAAATGCTCGGGCTCCTACACCCGTGTAGAAGACCTAGAAGAAGTTCCTGGTTCCTGGCTAGAGATCAGCCCAGCTCCGGCCACTGGTGCCATTTGGGGAGTGAACCAGTGGATGGAAGACTTCTCTTTCTGCCTCTTTGTGACTTACCTTTCAAATAAATAAATAAATCTTTAAAAAAATTATAAAGAGAAAAGAATTTGCCCAAATGATAAAAACCACCTACAAAAACCTACAGTTAACATCAGCTCCAAACTATACAATTTAAAAATGAGCAAAAGAATAGATATTTCACCAAAAAGATACATAAACAGCAAATAAGCATATGAAAAGATGTGTAACATCATTAGTCATTAGAGAAATGCAAGCCAGGGCTGGTGCTGTGGCCTAGCAGGTAAAGCCACCGCCTGCACTGCCAGCATCCCATATGAGTGCTGGTTGAAGTCCTGGCTGCTCCACTTCCCATCCAGCTCTCTGCTATGGCCTGGGAAAGCAGTGGAAGATGGCCCAAGTCCTTGGGCCCCTGCACCCGAGTGGGAAGACCTGGAGAAAGCTCCAGCCGTTGTGGCCAACTCTCTCTCTCTGCTTCTCCTTCTCTCTCTATGCAACTCTTTCAAATAAATAAAATAAATCTTGAAAAAAAAAAGAAAGCAAGCAAAAAGAAATGCAAGTCAAAACCATGAGATACCATTTCACATGCACTAAACACTACAATGGGTATCTTAAACAAAGGAGGGGGAGCTGGGGCTGGCACCGTGGCATAGCAGGTAAGGCTACCACCTGCAGTGCCGGCATCCCATATGGGCACCAGTTTGAGACCCAGCTGCTCTACTTCCAATGCAGCTCTCTGCTATAGCCTGGGTAAAAGGTAGAGGATGGCCCAAGTGCTTGGGCCCCTACACCCGTGTGGGAGACCTGGAAGAAGCTCCCAGGTCCTGGCTCCTGGCTTCGGATCAGCAAAGCTATGGCCGTTGCAACCATCTGGGGAGTGAGCAAGCAGGTGGAAGATCTCTGTCTCTCTCTCTCTCTCTCTCCCTCTGCCTCTCTGTAACTCTGCCTTTCAAATAAGTAAATAAATCTATTAAAAAAAAAAAAAAAAAAAAGGAGGGGAGTCAGCGTAGTGGTGCAGTGGGAGAAGCTGCTGCCTGCAACACCACCATCCCATGGGTGCAGGTTCCAGTCCCCACCGCTCCACTTCCAGCTCGCTGCTAATGTACCTGGGAAAGCAGCAGAGGATGATCCAAGTCCTTGGGCCCCTGCCACCCACGTGGGAGACCTGGATGGAGTTCCAAGGTCCTGGCTCCAGCCTGGCTCAGCACTAGCACCAGCCCCAGCAGCACCAGCACCAGCACCAGCAGCCATTTGGAGAGTGAATCAGCAGGTGGAAGATCTCTCTCTCTCTCCCCTTCTCTCTCTGTAACTGTGTGTTTCAAATAAATAAATATTGAACAATAAAAATAAAAAGGAACCAAGACTAACGTGGGGGAGAGAAACTGGGGTCCCTGAAAACTGCTACCGGGAATTTAAAATGGTGGGGCCAGCACTGCAGGGCAGCTGGTTTAGCTGACGTTTGTGATGCTGGCATCCCACATGAGAACACCAGGTCAAGTCCCAGCTGCTCTGCTTCTAATCTGGTTCCCTGCTAATGCTCCTGGGAAGATGGCCCAAGGACTTGCGCCCCTGCCACCCACACAGGAGACCCAGGTGGAGTTCCTGGCTCCTGGCCATGCCTGGCCTACCCCAGGTGTTGCAACCATTTGGGGAGGGAACCAGCAGATGGAAGATATAAATCTTTCTCTCTTGTGTCTTGCATCCTCCCGCGTCACTTTGGTTTTCAAACAAATAAAACAAATCTTTAACATAAAATAGTTAAGGATGTGAAATGGTACACAACAGTGTAGAAATCATTTTGGCAGTTCCTCAAAAAGTTAACCACAGAATTATCATGACTCATCAATTCCATTGATACCTAAAGAACTAGAAACTGTACTCAGAGGGTAGCATTTGAGCCTACTGGTTAAGACATGTGTGGGAGGTGGCATCCCATACTGAAGTGACTGGGACCCTGGTTCCTGATTCCAGAGGCAGCAGGTAATGGTTCCTTGTCACCCATGTAGGAGACCTGCCTTGAGTTTCTGGTTTCAGCTCCACTCAACGCCAACCACTGCAGGCACCTGGGGAGTAAGCCAGTGGATGGGAGCTCTCTTCTCTGTCTCTCCAGTAATGAAATAATTCAAATAAAAAATAGGCACTTGGGGGCGGCGCTGTGGCGCAGTGGGTTAAAGCCTAAAGCACCAGCATCCCATTTGGGCGCCGGTTCTATCCAGCTGCTCCTCTTCTGATCCAGCTCTCTGCTTATGGCCTGGGAAAGCAGTAGAAGATGGCCCAAGCCCTTGGGCCCCTGCACCTGCATGGGAGACCCGGAAGAAGCTCCTGGCTCCTGGCTTCAGATCAGCGCAGCTCCAGCCGTTGCAGCCATCTGGGGAGTGTACCAGTGGATGGAAGATCTCTCTCTACCTCTCCCTGTAACTCTACCTTTCAAATAAATAAAATTTTTTAATCTTAAAAAAAAAAAAAAACCAGGTACTTAATACTTGCATACAAACGTTCAGAGCTATTTTGGCCATTCGTAATAGACATTTGGTTTGATTATTCACAGTAACCAAAAAGTAGATACAACTGAAATATCTGTCAACAAATGAACAGATAGACAAATTGTGGTATATTCATACAACAGACTATTATTCAGCCATGAAGCACTGATACAGGCTACAGCATGGATGAACCTGGAAAACACTGAGCTAAGTCAAAGAAGTTGGACTTTGACAAAAGGTCGTGCTTGTGCAATCCCATGTAAAGGAAATATCCAGACGAGGTAAATCCACGCCAACAGAAAGCAGATTGGTGACTGCCACAGGATGGGCAGAAGGGTGAGTGGGGAGTGCCCATTCAACGGATAAGGGATTTTCTTTCAGGGGTGACAAAAAATGTTTTGGAACTGGGTAGTGGTGATAACTGTGTAAGAGTGTGTGTGTGCTAATGCCACTGAACTGTAGACTCTAAAATGGTCCATTTGATGTCACATGGATGTTACTGCAATCCTAAATTTAAGTCATTTCAGCACCAACACAGAAAGCCTCAGACTGAAGTTTAAGTGCCCAGCAAACTGAATTCTCTCCCTATATTCACTCTAAAAATCACGCTTTACCTTCTCACCCTGGGCCTCTTGTTGTTTTTTCCTCACGAGTCTCTGTCTTTTCTCATTCTCTTCTTCTTCTTCTAAGACATGAAAACACATAAAAGCGTATTTTAATTCCCAAGTATCAGTAAGTCAAAAGGAATGTTCTCTGAAAATAGCCTACATTTTAACATTTTGGGAAAGATTAGAAACCTTCAAAAGAGAGATTATTTTTTCAAGTAATGCAAATCAGATCCATGCAGACAGCAGAGACAAGAGAACACGCAAGTGAAATCTATTACAAAACCTCTGTTCTGAAACTAGAATCCTCTGACATATGTTGTAAGTAAGTAACAATTTTGCTACGGAGGCTTCAGAAGGCGCTGGTGAGTTTTCCTTTATGGGCCTGCCAGGGCTGCAGCAGCTCCAAGGCACAACACGGAAGCCCACTGCTGCGCAGGAAGTGTGGACTGCTACACTGCAGGCTTGAGGGGAGCTATCCCATCTCCGGACAGGACAATAAAAGCAACATGCCTACTCCCCAAATGTACTTAGCAGCTCCTAGACTGACTGACACACTGCCAGGCTGTTACCCAATGAACAACAGAAAGGGTTTCTGCTGTTGTATGGAACTGGTTTTACTCTTGGTATAATAAATATCATTTACGTAACTGGCTCTGTCCTTCAAACATCATTTAAAGATTGGATTTTGTAATACTGCAATGTGCACAAAATGGCTCACACACAGTAACAACAAACCAGAAACCCTTCCCTTTGGAATGACCCATCCTTAAGAAAATACATAAACCCTTTGAACTTCGACAGCAACATTCACTTCTGCTGATAACTTTAGCTCTTTGGCAGACATTTTTGTATTTCCTCAAATTACAAAACAAAGATTAGGGCAATAAAGCCCAGCAAAAAATTGGACGCCACTAACTTGCTATTAGACAGATCAGGCTCAGTGGTCTTAAGACACCTTCTAAACTCTGAATCCAAGAATATACTTTTTTCCAAGACACGGGAAACTTGGATTGAGTTCTTGGCTCCTGGCTTTGGCACTGGCACAGCTCCAGTGATTGTGGGCATTTGGGGAGTTAACCAGTGGCTGGGAGCTGGCTCGCTCTCTTTCTCTGCCTCTCAAGTAATAAAAATAAACAATCATGACTAAAGTTGTAATGATTACTCCTCCTTAAAATTAAACATCACAAGTTAATGGTAAAATAGTTCTTACGAGACAAAGTTATAGAATAAAGGAAAGAAAGTTGAGTAGAAAAATATAAAAGAATAGCATAAATAATCAACTTACCTTTCAGATAAACTTGGGAAGACTTAAATGAGTTAAGCCATGAGGTAGTCACAGAAATAATTAAAGTAAGAAGAGCAAGTGCTAAGAAAATCCGGCCACACAGCAAAAAGAGATCTTTAAGTCCTTAAAAAAAATAATTAAAGTTAAAATTCAAAACATTTTTTGTTGATACTACTAATAATAACAATAAAAACACATTAAAAGGTTATTTTTACTAGAAAAGTAATAGAAGGTATGAGCCTGGGGCCAGCATTGTGGCCCCAGGTAAAGCTGCCACCTGCAATGCCAGCATCCCATACGTATGCCAGTTTGAGTCCCAGCTGCTCCACTTTCAATACTGCTCCCTGCTAATGCACCTGCAAAAGCAGAAGATGACGCATGTGCTTGGGCCCTTGCATCCAATGTGGGAGACCTGGAGGAAGCTCCCGGCTTTAGCCTGGCTCATCCTGGCCGTTGTGGCTATCTGAGGAGTGAACCAGCAGACAGAAGCTCTCTTTCTCTGTCTCCCCCTCCCCAAAACTCTGCCTCTCAAATAAATTATATATATATTTTTAAGATTTTTTATTTATTTATTTGACAGGTAGAGTTAGAGAAAGAGAGACAGAGAGAAAGGTCTTCCTTCCATTGGTTCACCCCCCAAATGGCCGCTACAGCCGGCGCGTTGCACTGATCTGAAGCCAGGAGCCAGGTGCTTCCTCCTGGTCTCCCATGAAGTGCAGGGCTCAAGCACTTGGGCCATCCTCCACTGTCTTCCTGGGCCACAGCAGAGAGCTGGACTGGAAGAGAAGCAACCGGGACTAGAACCTGGTGCCCATATGGGATGCCAGTGCCGCAGGCGGAGGATCAACCAAGCAAGCCATGGTGCCAGGCCCTAAAATAAATATTTTTTAAAAGAAGTTATTAACTGTCATGATTATTTCATGTATTCTGCTTTGGGAACTGTAATTCATCCTAGCTGTCACAAGTTTTCAGAAACCAAAATGACTTTTCAGAAAATAATTGTAGAATAATCACCTCTGTCTTAAAAATATAAGTATAATTAGAGTGGTAGGCTGCATTACAAAAATATGGCTATCTATGAAGCCTAAGTTCTAGATTCCCCTCCTGCCTAGGGAAGGCAAATGAACTACATAATTGGGAATCAGACTGTGAGAGTACCGTCTTGGTCAAATACGAATTCTACTCAAAACAGTCATGCCCACTGCAATCCCACATTCTGACTTGTCACAACTAGACATGCAAACTGTGAGCTTCTCTACTTCTCCGTATTCATCCATTCATTTGCAAATAAAATTACTCTTTGTCTAGAAAAAAAGCAAAACATCAGTAGTTGGTCTTACAATATTTTAAGCACCAAAGTGAAAATTAAGTCAGCAAAAACTGTAATGAGCGCCTACTTTGTGGGATACAATTTGCTAAACAGCGAAGGGGACAGGGGACATAAAGCTGGGTTGCATATGACTTCTCTCCCCCAGGAGTTTTTACTATCATTTTGTTTTGTGATTTTCAAAAGTTACTTGGCAGACAGAAAGGAAGCATCACACAAATGGAATCTGCACTGATTGTTAATTAACCAAAGATGAAAGAAGTCATAAACGCTTATACATACGAATTTAAAAGTTCTTTTAAACTGAAAAGATGCATCCTTAAAAAAGAAACAGCAACAGTAAGTTGTTTAGAAAAGCAATATGATTTTTTATACAATTTTTTAAATGGGTGCCATCAACTTATTTATTTTTTTTTTTTTTAAGATTTATTGATTTGGGGAAGGGGGAGAGAGGGAGATCTCCCATCTGCTAGTTCACTCTGCAGGTAGCTGCAACAGCCAGGGCCGGGCCAGGCTGAAACCAGGAGCCAGGAGCTTCTTCCAGTTCTCTCACAACGTGGGCCCCTCTTTTCTTGCATCACAGCTCTTCCAGCTCTCAATAGCAGTAACTACTGATTCACATGTTGTTCATTATAGATGTAATTCAATCTAGGGTATCTCTGGCCATGGCAGAAATAATTTTTTAGAAGATTTATTATTTATTTGAAAGGTAGAGTTATAGAGAGAGGGAGGGAGATTTTCCAACCAGTGGTTCACTCCCCAAATGGCCACAATGTCTGGGGCTGGGCCAGACTGAAGCCAGGAGCCAGGAGCTTTTTCCAGGTCTCCCTCATGGGTGTAGGGGACCAAGAACTTGGGCCATCCTCTGCTGCTTTCCCAGGAGCATTAGCAGGGAGCTGGATGGGAAGTGGAGCAGCTGGAACTCAAACCAAATGGGAACTCATCCCCAAATAGAATGCTGGTATTGCAGGCAGTGGCTTTACCTGATATGGCACAACACTGGCCCCACAAAAGTAATTTAATATATACATTACTGGTACAGCGATATCTCAAGAAGTTCACAGAGGAGCTGGCAACATGGTACAGTGGGTTAGGATACTACTTTGTGACACCTGCATCCGCTATCAGAGTGCCCATTAGAATCCTGGCTGCTCTGCTTCTAATCAAGCTTCCTGCTAATCCACCTGAGAGAGCAGTGGAGGGGGCCAAGTGCTTAAGACTCTGCCACCCACATGGGAGACTAGCTCCTGGCTCCTGGCTTCCACCTGGCCCAGCCCTAGCTGTTAGACCATTTGGGGAGTAAATCAGCATATGGAAGACCTCTCTCTATCACTCTGCCTTTCAAATAAATAAACAAGCAAATAAATCTGTTTTTAGCAGTTCATAGAAAATGGAATGAAAACAATGAAAGTAGCTGTTGCATTATAAGGTGTGGTTTGTAAAACAGGCGTAAACACTGTTAGCAGATACTTGGAAGCCCACCATCAAGAAATCAAAGAAAACCACCATGAGTTTACAAGAGAAGGTTCCAGGAGAAAGGTTAAGTGAAAAGTTCAGGAACTAGATGGAGATGCTGCCAGGCGTCAAGTTGCCTTTTCTAGAATTCGTGGCCTGGTTTTATAAAAATCAGACATTGTGATAAGTGCCTGGAATACAAAAACGAATCACATGTGATCTCCGCCCCGGAGGGGTGTTTTCCTGGGGTCGGGGCTGACTGGGAGAGCAGCTCCCCTACAAGTTTCAGGAAGGATCCTCTCACTGACTAGTAACTGGAACGTTATGCAAAGCACATTCTGGAAAAGCAGAGCAGGAGTGCATGCTGGGAAAGCAAGGCAGCACGTGGACTCCGGAACCGGGGAGTGTGAATTTCACACTTCTGTGTAACACCTGGACACAGATCTTGTTATAGTTCAGTACAGCTTGACTAAGCATTCGGCTTCGGGAGGACCTTCATAGATTGTGTAAAAGCATTTTACTTCATTTCTCCTTTCAAGCAACATTTCTGGGCACCCAACTTCCTGTGGCAGAGGGAGAAGAGAACAGATACACTACGCTTTCATCCCGGTCTCTAACTTCAAAACTGAGTTTAAGGAGGGAGACAGACAAGTAAACTGATCACTAATACACCAAAAAATCAACACCAAAAAAACAACATCTGCAGATTTCCCTTTCCCAGTGGCACTGTATGTAGGAGTAATCACGCCTGCAACAAAGTCTACAGATTCTAGCTCATTAATATCCAAACCTGTCCACACTTCATATCCTTTGTTACCATCCTACTCCAGGCCCTTGTCACCACCTGCCTACTTCAAAAGCTTCCCTTGCCTCACCGCTCCCATTAAACATAGCTTCCTCTCAAAATCATTGTGCAGGGGCCGGCGCTGTGGCATAGCGGGTTGAGGTCGCTGCAGTGCCATCATCCCATATGGGCGCTGGTTTGAGCCCCAGCTGCTCCACTTCCGATCCAGCTCTCTGCTACGGCCTGGGAAAGCAGTAGAAGATGGCCCAAGTCCTTGGGCCCCTGCACCCATGTGGGAGACCCAGAAGAAGCTCCTGGCTCCTAATCAGCCCAGCTCTGGCCGTTGCAGCCAGTTGAGGAGTGAACCAGCGAATGGAAGACCTCTCTCTCTCTGCCTCTCCTTATTTCTCTAACTCCAACTTTCAAATAAATAAATAAATCTTTAAAAAAAATCATTCTCCATCCTTCATCCAAAGTGGCCTTTTAAAATCTCAGGAAGGGGCAGGAATCGTCGCTCTGGGAGTTAAACCGCAGTTTGGCACTACCACATCCCATATCACAGTCCATCCTCTGCTTCCGATCCAACTTCCTGCCAACGTGCATCCTGAGAGGCTGTGGCAATGGCTCAAATGCTTGGGCCTCGGACACCAGGCTGAGCGACCTGGATGGGGGTCCTGGTTCCTGGCTTCAGCATGGCCTATTCCTGGCTGTTGTGGGCACTTGAGGAATGAATCGGAGGATTCACTCTGCCTTTCAAATACGTGAATAAACTTGAAAACCTTTAGGGAAGTCACTTCACTGCCCTAGCTCTGTAAAATGCGGATTGTAACAATGCCTACCATTGGCTGTAGTGCAAATTAAATAAGACAATCAACAGCGCTGGGTGTCTGGTTTAAAACAGGTGTTCAATAAACCAAATTATCCCTGGCTCTCCTCGGTCCAGCCACTTGGCCTTCATTATATCACAACTCTGCCTGGAATATTCTTCCCCTCCCCGTCCCTTGCCCACCCAAAGTCTCTTCCCTTTTTCGTGTAACTCTAAATCCAAATTCCTCAGAAGGCCTTTATCCTATCAGCCTCTTAATTTTGTTCTGAGCACTAACCAGGATTTGGAAATACTGGCCATGGCAGTCACTACGGCGCTGGCTCCCGACCCCCTAACACCGGCACAACGTGCCGGATCTGCAGGGAACCGTCTTCCGGAAGAGGCGGGCAGGCGCGTTGCAGTCTGGGAATTGTAGTCAGAGCCACCGGGAAGAGAGGCGGCAAGGCAAGTCCGCGCAACACTCTTCAGAAAACTATCCAGCTGTGCGCATCAACGGGAGGAGGTCACACTTACCTAGGTCGGGGATCCCACGCCGGAACTCCAGACACAAGATGGGAAGAGCAGAGAGGATAAAAATGCCAACAACACCACGAGAAGCCATGGCGGCTTAAGGCCCCCGAGTGTGGGCGGAAATCCCGCCCCTTCCGGTCGCGCCTTCCTGGGAGGGCGGAGTGGAACCCTTCCTGAGGCGGGATGTCCGGGAGGAGTTAGACCCTAAGAGGGTCGTTGGTCGTGCAGAAATCAGTCACTCTGCTCGTGCACTCAGTCTGTAGCCTTGTTTCAGGAGTGCAAGTCACCTCCCCACGTCACATAATGTCCAGGGCAGCGCAGGTTCTAGGGAGGTGACTCCCTGGAGGGCAGGGGACATAGGACACCTTATGTCTTTAGTTGTTCCTGGCCCCTTAGGCAGTATCTGGTTCCTGTGGGAAGGCAACTCCAAAGTGGGGCTTGGCACCAAATACCTGCCCCCTTCCCTCCCCCACACACCCTAAAGACTGAAGACCCCTATCCCTAGCTCCGCCCCTTTATCTGTGTGGCCGGCACGTGTTACTGTTAATGACAACCTCTGCCTCACCGTTCTGTGACCTCATTGCCATCCCGTGACCCTTCCGCACGTTGCATTTCCCAACCTGCAGTTCTGTTAAGCTTCTGAGGTCCTTGTGACTTGAAAGATTTCAAAGTTTAAAATTCTCCTTTCTGACCCATCCATCAGTCCATCTACTTTATTCTTAAATTTAATTCAACCAGGGAGGAAGACAAAAAAATACCTAAAGGAGGAGATCGTATCAAATATGGTAGGAACTGAAGAAGTCCCTTTCTGTCCTCATGTGTGATGGACGTCAGGTTTCTATACAGACATCAGTGGGAACCTGTGACTGAGTCAAGCCCTCAGCGCGGCTCTGTAGCACGCTGTGCGTACCCCTCTCACAGCACCTGGGCAGTGTGCTCATATTACATTTACCTGTTTACAGGGTAAACAGTAAGCTGAGTTTTCCAGTAAGCTGAGTTTCCTGAGCACAAATCCAAACTTACACACAACTGAATCTCCGTGAGTTCTACAATTCCAGACAAATGGGTGAGCTCACAACTCCCATTGATGTCTGTGTAGATACCTGACGTCCTGGAGGATAAAATAGAGGATCCCAACTACTCTAGATTTGCTTTGAGTGTTGATACATAGGAAAGGTACCCTTTCGTGACCTTTGTGGATTGTGAACTCTGTTAACTGCAATTGTCAGGTGCCACAAAAGACCACCGGAACATCCTGTTCATTAAGTAAAGCCGATTTTCTTACTGCGTTAAAGGAGAATACTAGAGTAGATGTCAAGGGTAATTTTTATAAGGTTCTGTAGTCTGGGTTGGACTGTTTTAAATTTTTTTTTCATTATGACTGGACAGAGTTTCTGGTACAACAGTTTGGGACTTATACATTAAACAAGATGAGGGAATTGAAGGCAGATTTTTTTTTTAACCTAGAAACCTTTTATTTAAAATATATAAATTTCGCCGGCGGCGTGGCTCACTTCACTTAGTTAATCCTCTGCCTGCGGCACCGGCATCCCATATGGGAGCTGGATTCTAGTCCAGTTGCTCCTCTACCAGGCCAGCTCTCTGCTGTGGCCCGGGAGGGCAGTGGAGGATGGCCCAAGTGCTTGGGCCCCTTCACCCACATGGGAGACCAGGAGAAAGCACCTGGCTCCTGGCTTTGGATTGGCGTAGCTCTGGTCATGGCGGCCATTTGTGGGGTGAACCAAGGGAAGGAAGACCTCTCTCTGGTCTCTCTCTCTCACTATCTGTAAAAAAAATTAATTAAAAAAATAAAGTACACAAATTTCATACATTTCATATATACAGATTTAGGAACATAGTTATTCTTCCCACTTTACCCTCCTGCATGGACTCCCATCCTTCTTCCTTTTCCCTCTCCTTTTCCCATTCTTATTTTTCACAAAGATCTATTTTCAATTAACACATACGATTAACCCTACACTAAATAAAGAGTTCAATAAATAGTTAAAAAAGAACACAAAACACTGTTCCTCAGGCCCACGCCCCGCCTCACTAGGCTAATCCTCCACCTTGCGGCGCCAGCACACCGGGTTCTAGTCCCGGTTGGGGCGCCGGATTCTGTCCTGGTTGCCCCTCTTCCAGGCCAGCTCTCTGCTGTGGCCAGGGAGTGCAGTGGAGGATGGCCCAAGTCCTTAGGCCCTGCACCCCATGGGAGACCAGGAGAAGCACCTGGCTCCTGCCTTCGGATCAGCGCGGTGCACCAGCTGCAGCGCGCCAGCCGCAGCGCGCCAGCCGTGGCAGCCATTGGAGGGTGAACCAATGGCAAAGGAAGACCTTTCTCTGTCTCTCTCTCTCACTATCCACTCTGCCTGTCAAAATAAATAAACAAACAAACAAACACTGTTCCTCAACAGTTGAGACAAGGGCTGATCAAAATCATTGCATCGCAAAGTGTCAATTTCACAATAGATTTCCCTTTAGGTACTCTATTAGTTACCACAGATCAGGGAGAATTTATGCTATTAGTCTTTTTGGGCTTGAAGGCAGATTTGGCTGTTCATAGAAGGAAGGAGATTTGCCCAACTGATCAGTGCAAATTCTGAATGCGTGAGAAGCAGACATGTAGCCAGATAAGAAACTCTTTATTTGGATAAACAGATTTTAGGAAGCTTCTAAACCTGACAATGAAGTTATGTGTTGATTCACAGCCTATCTTCATGGGAAAGAATTTTTTGGAATAGTAAAATCCTATTGATTGAAAAGATTTAGTTCTTGGTGGTGATAATTAAGCTATGGGTTGTAGGATTCTCTGTTTTCTCAATCAAATCTTTTGAACACCTCCTGAGTATGAGATGTGAGATTTTTAAATCTAGATAGTTTATTTTAAACCATTCTCTCTTTTTTTAAGATTTATTTATTTATTTGAAAGGCACAGTTACAGAGAGAGAGAGTGTGAGAGAGAGAGTGAGAGAGAGAGAGAGTCTTTTCATCCGCTGGTTCACTCCCAAAATGGCTGCAATTGCTGTAACTGGGAGGACCCGAAGCCAGGAGCCAGGAGCTTCCTCCGGGTCTCCTACACGGGTACAGAAGGACTTGGGCCACCTTCTGCTGCTTTCGCAGGCCTTAGCAGAAAGCTGGATCAGAAGTGGAGCAGGCAAGAGCTGGTACCCATATGGGATGCCTCCACAGCAAGGGGTGGCTTTACCTACTACAACACAGCACCAGCCCCTTAAAGCATTCTCTTAACACAAACATGTTTTTATTACTTAACAAGTGATGCAACCTGCTTTATGTATAAAAGGGTAGGGTTCCCTTTTATGTTAAGTATTTATTTGAGGGGCCAGCGCTGTGCCACAGCTGGTTAAAGCCCCAGCCTACAGCGCTAACATCCCTTATGGGCACCGGTTCTAGTCCCAGCTGCTCCTCTTCTGATCCAGCTCTCTGCTATGGCCTGGGATAGCAGTGGAAAATAACCCAAGTCCTTGAGCCCCTGCACCCACGTGGGAGACCCAGAAGAAGCTCCTGGCTCCTGGCTTTGGATTGGTGCAGCTCCAGCCATTGTGGCCATCTGGGAAGTGAACCAGCGGATGGAAGACTTCTCTCTGTTTCTATCTCTGTAACTCCGTCTTTCAAATAAATAAAACAAATCTTAAAAAAAAAAAAAGTACTTGTTTGAGAGGCAGAGATAGAATGATAGGATGAGAATTCTTCCAATCCACTGATCCCTCTCCAAATGCCCATAACAGCTGGGTCAAGCCAAAGCTGGGAGCCAGAAATGCAATCCAGGTCTTTCCCGTGGGTGACAGGGACCCAATTATTTGAGCTGTAAGAACTGCTTTCCAGAATCTGCATAATCAGGGAGCTGGGATTGAGAGTGGAGCCGGGACTTTAACCCAGGCACTCTGATATGGGATGTGGCCACAAACACTGCCTTATGCTACCTTTTTATAGCTATAGGAACCTTCCTTTCTGTCCCTCACCACCAACCTCCAGGCAACCACTTATCTGTTCTCCACCTCTCTTCCCCTCCAATTTTATTGAGGTATAATTGAAAAAATCCATCTTTTTAATTTTGTCATTTCAAGACTCTTCATAAGTGGAATCGTACAGCAAACAATTGTTTAGGTTTGAATTTTTCACTTGGCATAAAAGTTCTTGTGTAATCAACATTCATTCCTTTTTATTGCTGAATGGCATCCTTGTAATGATTAACCATTCACCTGTGAAGGACATGTGGGCTGTTTTCAGTACAAGCTATCACAAAATAAAGCTGCTATGAATATTTGTGCACAAGTTTTTCTTTGAATATAGGCTTTCATTTCTTTAGAATAAATGCCCAAGAATGAATTTTTTGTATCACAGTAAGCAGGTGTTTAGTTTTGTAAGAAATTGTGATACTTCTTCAAAGTAGCTATACCATCTCACATTTCCACCAGCAACATAGGAATGATCTGGTCTCTGTATCCTTGCTATCATTTGGCGTTGTCACTATATTTTATTTTAACCATTCTGGTGAGTGTTTTAACTTGTGTTTTCCTGGTGACTAATGATAGTGAGGTCTTGTTTATGTGTTTTTCAGTCATTCATTTACCTTCCTTTTTGAAATGTCTTCTCAAATCTTTCTAATTGTGTTCTTTTTCTTTCACATTGAGCTGTAGGAGTCCTTTCACAGCCTGGCTAACTGTCAGACATATGTTTTGTGAATGTTTATCCGAGTCTCTGGCTTACCTGTTTATTTTCTTGATGACTTTTTGCTGAACTGAGGTTTTGCATTTTGTTGCAGACAAATATATAGTCTCTCTAAAAAACCTTTGCCTATCATGAGGTTAAGAAAAAAATCTCTGCCATTTTCTTTCCAAAAGGTTTATGTCCAGCTTTTACATTTAAGTTTATAAAAATAATTTATTTTTGTAGTTTTTTCCCTCCCTGTAAATATTGTAAGATGGCTACTTTTTAAAAATTGAGATTTAAAAATCTCTGCTATTTTCTTTCCAAAAGGTTTATGTCCAGCTTTTACATTTAAGTTTATAAAAATAATTTATTTTTGTAGTTTTTTCCCTCCCCGTAAATATTGTAAGATGGCTACTTTTTAAAAATTGTTTGGGGGAAAGACAGGGAGGAAGAGAGAGGAAGCACAGACCTCCATCTGTTGGTTCACTTCCCCAAATGCCTACAATGATTGGGATGGGAGAAAGGAAATTGCAACTCATTCTGGGTCTCCCACATGAGTGGCAGAGTCCCAAGTACTTGAGCCATCACCTATTGTCTCCAGGCGCATGCATTAGCAGGAAGCTGGAATCAGAATCCATGCCAAGACTTGAACCCTGGTCCTTTAATATGGGATGTGGGCATCCCAAGTGGCAGTGCATTGATGCACCCAATGCCCACCCCCTATAAGAATTTTAACCAGATGTATGCAACTTTGTGATCTGGTAGGAAAGTTTTGTGAATTTATGGATTAATATTTTCATGTCCTCTAATAATTTTTATTT